GTGGGACCTCCAGCAAGGTGTATCAATTAAAGTTTACAGACCCTCTGTTTATACATCCAGAAGCGTCTGGAGCCATGCCACCGAGAAAGAGCAGAGACAAAGAGGTTCAGCCAGCCCAGGCTGACCACGCAGACGACAGTCCACTCCACTCTGAGGGCGAAAATGATCCCATCACTTTTCTCCCAGTATCACCTCTAGCAGAACGGTCCTATGGGAATCCAGTGTTTAAGGAGAAAGAAGCAGACCGTGGAGGTGACTTTGCTGAATCAAGTAATATGTTTAGAGGTATGATGGAATGTCTGGATTTAGCATTCAAAGAAAAGAACCAGACTATGCAGAGGCTGGTTGAGAGTCAAGCAGAATCCTCCAGACGTCAGGAAGAGATAATCAGACAGTGTATGGAAGACATGAGACGGGTCTTTGAGGAAGGCACTAGGGTGATGCGAGAAACTGGGGAAGAAAGTCGCAGAACACTGCAGGCTGTTTCAGAACAAGTGGTTGAGCAAGTGCGACAGCCCAGACCTGAGATTCCTCCTCCAGTCATTGAAATGCCCAGACAGATTCAGGAAGCCCCAATCCCAGCACTCGGGGGGCAAGGGAATTAGCCTCATCCTAACATTCAACAGCAGAATTTCTTCATGGGTGAAGGACAAAGACAGCATGAACCAATGGAGGCTGCTGCTCCTGTTGCAGACCACGGCCATCAACCTCAGCATAGGTATGTTCCGCCAGGTAGGAGGGGAAATGTGGGTCCTCATCATCAACCCTACCCAAGGGATTTTTTCCAGCCACAAGTTCCTCCAGCCCAGCCGGTACAGCGCGGTCTGCAGAATCACTCAGCTCAATTATTCAATAGAGATCAGCTAATAGATCTGGTACAAGAAACCTATGGACCAGCCTTGAGACCATTGGTGCGTCCAGCCTACAGGAAGCCTTATCCAGACATCATTGATCATGAAAATCCTTTTCCAAGGGGTTTTAAGGTGCCTGAGTTCACTTTATTTTCTGGTGAGGTTGGTCAGTCCACTATTGAACATATTGGACGCTTTACAATACAATGTGGAGAGGCGTCTGGAGATGATAACTTGAAACTCAGACTGTTTCCTAGCTCTTTGACTGGAATAGCCTTTACATGGTACCTCAGTCTGCCTCAAAATTCAGTCTACTCTTGGAGGCAAATGGAGGACTTGTTTCATACTCAATTTTATCGTTGTGAACCGGAAGTGTCTATGGCAGATTTGTCAAGGCTAGCCCAAAGGCTTGGAGAGTCGTCTGAGGTATTCTTGGCTAGGTTCTGGAGAGCCAGACTGAAATGTAGAGTTGCACTGCCAGAACAAGAGTTTGTCAAGCTGGCTCAGAATGGTCTGGACATTGAGTTTCGGAAGAAATTTGAGGGGATGGAATTTCGAGACTTCTATGAATTGTCTTATAAAGTGGCTCGGTATGAATATCTGCTGAAAGAAGATGTTCAAAAGAAGGCTGCATCACATGGAACTTATTACAGTGACCCTAATTTTGATCTTGATGTGGCTGAGGTTGTTACAGACAAGCCTGTTGTTTGTCCA